TGGAGTAAGACTCCACTGAGAGTAATGTTTTACAAAGCTTAAGGGTTAACTTGCAGAAAGTGGCTCATGAAGATCCTGAAGAACTATTCGAATAAGAATGTTGCACAGTTCTGCTCTCTACTCTGGTTTTTCTGGAAGGACAGGAACAACTTTCTATCCAATAATAAATTTATGCAGGAATGGGAGGTGTTTCCCCGTGCGGATGATTTTATCCAGTGTTTCATGGAAGTACAGGGGAAGGATGAAACGGTCATAAGACAGAACTGTAGGAAGAACTGCAAGTGGCAAAAACCTCCAGTTGGAGTCTTTAAACTGAACACATATGTTGGGCTTAACACATATGTTGGGCTTACAAGCATGAGGGAAGTAGATCTGGGTTGCATTTTAAGGGACTGGAATGGAGCTGCTGTTTTCGCAGCAAATAAGAGAGTCAAAGTTAAATGGCCACCAGATGTAGCTGAAGGGATGGCTGTACTATTTGGTTTGCGTTTGGTGGCAGAATGGGGAGGTGGATCTGTTGTTGTGGAGTCGGATTGCAAGAAGATTATTCATCTGCTAAAGAATACAAAAATTTGCAGAACTGAAGTGGGCAGTGTGTGTGAAGAAATTCTGAGATTGGTTGAGAATTTGGATATTAGAGACTGGTTGTTTACATACAGGGAGGCAAATAGTGTGGCTCATCAGTTGGCTCACTTAACTTCTGTTCATGGGGAGGTTTTGTTTTGGAACAATTGTTACCCGTTTAAAATTGCTGATGTTGTAACCCTTGAGGCATCCTTTTCTTGATTTAATAAAATCCCATCAGTTCTCCCTAAAAAAAATATATGATTATTGTTAGAAGAACCAAACCGGACCAACACTTGGGCAGAGCCACTAAACCAATTAAAATAATCAATTGATTGGAAGGTTAATGTAACACCCTACCCTGTACGTTTTACCTAATCATATTGTTCATACATTTGCAGCGGAAATAATCTCGGGTGTTACATTAATTATCAAAATTTACCCAAATAAATTTTTGGCATGAATTACTGGCGTAATGGGCTAACAGTTCTTGCAACTAGACCTGCAAAACAATTTATATGAATATATGCATTCATAGACATACATATATACTCACAATCATACATTGGCTTTCATAGCCATAGTCACATTTTTCTTACTCCACAACTGCATACCATACTTGTACATGTCATAATCATCAAAACTTACACAATTACACAAATATACACATATCATCAACTTTCCACACCTGTGGATATCTCACTCTACATCAGAAGCTAGTATGCACATGAAAAACGTTCTCAAAACATTAAAAAAAAAGGTGTGGATCACTGGCCAAAATCCAAGTAGTCGTCCAAACACATAATAGTTGAAGACAATACCTCATTTTGCCTTCAACTCCTCGTTCTGCTCACATCTATGTACTTGCTACTGCTACTGCTACTGCTGATGATCTGCTTACACATAGCATAAGTAGAGGAAAAGAATAAAAGAGAGTCAACTCATAGCTGAGTGAGATAATCATAGCATCGTGAGTTCATAACAGAGCATACTCATACTATACATCTAGCAAACAAGCCAAAGCACTAGGATCATACCTCAACCATCCGACATCCCAATAGGCAAAAGACTCAACCACCATGACTTATGCATATGCATCTTATCATGTTTTAATCATAGGCGCCTGGCTACTCCCATGCTAATTACTCTCCCGGGAATACGGACTAAATATCTCGTGGATGTGGTCATATCAGACCCACCACTGCCGGTATAGTCATATCGGACCTGACATCACTCTGGGTGTGGTCATATCGGACTCAACACCACTCTAGGTATGGTCATATCTCATGATGAATCAACGGTCAACACCACATTAGGGGTGTGACATAACATATCATAACGGAATAATAGCATGGGGAGCCCTAATTACTATGTAATTGACCATGAGACCAAATCACTCTTATTTGGTATCCTTATACATGATTCATATCTCATCTTGCTTAATTATAATTCGTTACTTGCACATGTACTTGACCTGGCCATAATTGGCTTAACATAGGTAAACCAGGAGTCGTGTAGTTGCACTTCCTCGGGATAAACCCTCGTGCAAGTCATCCTCCTTAAAACATCATAATATCACCATGGAAAGTTTATTTCCCCACTTGTGAATCCAAATACAACCACAATATCACATCACGTTAAAACACCTTATCGTACAACCATGAAGTCATATCAACAGATAATCTACAAATGGTAGCATATATGCAATCGTCAACATAAACAAGGTCCATATCGATTAAGACAAGTCAATAATATCATACAGCAATCCAGGGTTCAACATATAGCACAAAAGTTCATACACCCCTAATCATGCCATTCTAGTTCACCTATGTCATTTCTAAGCATCAATATAATTATCGTGATACAACAAACCCGGTATGCCGTGCTAATCCCTCACCAGTTATGGTCGTTCAAACACCGGTTCTAGCCTCCCGTACCCCAACTTCACTTTTCTCAAACAAACCCGGAATCAAAATCCGAGAGTGTCCTAATATCCCCTGCGGTGTCCTCGTCAATGTTAGTTCTAGACATCGGGTCAAATTCTCGATAAAAACATATCAAACCTTGGCCGGAGCTAAATTGAGCGATTCCGGCTCCGACCTAAATAATTGCCGAAATTCATGAATTAGAACTAGAGGATTAATTACCTCGCTGTAGGAAGCTCGTATATGAAATCTGGGCTCAATCTGGCTTCTGGATACTCTGAAACCCTAATTTGACTTATCGGGAATTCAAGAAATTCCCGACCAAAAACTCGTTTTAAAGCTCTAAATCGATAAATCACGATGTATAGGTGGATTAGGCGTTACTTACGGGATTTTTGGATCTCTAGAACTCAAGAATCAAATTCTTGAATTTTCTCACCGAGCGTCTGTGCGTGCTCTGTTTCTCTCGACAGGGAAAGTGAGAAATGAAAGAAGATGGAAATGGACAGGAAGGAAAAGTTTACAATATATATAAAGGAAGGAAACAAAGTGAATCGGTCACTTTTATTTTCGAAATACAATCAAAACACTCGATTTTAATCACGTAATTTTTTAGCGATCGAAATACGAGTTTAGTCAAAACAGGATGTTACAGTTAAAGATGGATCGAACATTTTTTTACGGTTTGACACAAAATTAGATGACTATACCAATTTAATTGGTCCACTAGTTTACTATATTGACCAAAAAAATTAAGAAAAAAATATGTTACTGTAAACAAATATCATCCAACCTCAATCACTAATATTGTCACTAAATATTAGATGACTATACTAATGTTATTTATACTTTTTTTCTCAATCTCCTTGTGGTATTTAACTGGTTCACTAAATATTGTCACTCTTAATACTTACTTGAATATAATATTAAAAATTTGTGATTTCTTTTGTAAGATAGTTTGAATGTATTGTTAGAGTTTTTTTTTTGTGATAGAATATATGAATTTGTAATTTATTATGGTTAGTGATAAATTCACTCATAAATAATTGTATTATATATGTTTTATGTCTTTTTTTATATTATATCACATGAACGGTTCTATCAATAATTAACCAATAGGTCTATAATAAAAATAAATAAAATTTTATAATAGTTAACCGTTGAATCATCAACCACTAACTTTTTGGGATTTTTTTAGAAATAGCACTGTTAAAAAAATCAAAAAATAGCACCCAACCTCAAAAAATTCCAAAAATAGCACCCTTTCCCAAAAAACGCCACCCGGGGGCACGGTTTTTGACGAAAACCGCACGGGTAGGGGGCGATTTTGCTGACCGCATGGGGCCGGTGCAGTTCGGTCCAAAACCGCACCCCCACCCTGCGGTTCATAATAAATATTTTTTTTTCAAATAAATGCCGTAAGTGGTCTAGGCACAACTAGTTTAGTTGTTTATTGTGTGCAAGAAGTCCTGGGTCCCCACCATCCCATCTGAATTTTTTTTTATTTTTTAGAGATTAAAAAAAGCAACATGTTGTGGGAGTGGTAGTTCGAACCCAGATAATAAATAGTTTACTAAATTTAGCACAATATCTACACCACGCAACTACAACTCTTCTCTTGAAACAATAATATATTGACAAAGTTTTACTACTTGAACGCTAAAAATCCTCAATAACTTTAAACAACCATAACTTTGTGCTCCAAAATCCGAACATCACGAATTTTTTTCATTTCGCATAACTTTTTAAGGACTACAATTTTTACTAGGAATGAATTTTCAAAACAGGAATTATTTTGGATATACAGGGTTTTGGGAATAGCTTACCTTCCCTTTTCACAAATCCACGTACATTTAAAAATTATGTCTATGATAAAAATTGTAGTTCTTAAAAAGTTATGTAAAATGAAAAAAAAATCATGACGTTAGGATTTTGGAGCACAAAGTTATGGTCGTCCAAAGTTTGACGAAATCGGAAAAAAGCTCGTTCGGAGTAGCAAACGACATTTTTTCGGGACGAAGGTGGGACCAAACTGCCTCTTGAGTTTGCGGCTTGCAAGATCTCGAAAAGTTATGCGGAATCAAAACAAAATCGCGACGATTAGATACCCGAACACAAAGATACGTTCGTTTGAAGTTTCCACCTAGGTTAGGATTTTTCAAAAAAAAAAAAAAAAAGATCTCAAAACCGCAGGGTGGGGTGCGGTTTGCAACCAAACCGCACCGGCCCCATGCGGTCAGCAAAACCGCCCCCTACCCGTGTGATTTTCATCGAAACCCGCACCCCGAGGTGGCGGTTTTTGTCTAAACTGCTGGTTCGGGTGGCGTTTTTTGAAAATGGTTGCTATTTTTGAAATTTTTCGAGGTTGGGTGCTATTTTTGGGGAAAAATTTAAACAGTGCTATTTCTGGAAAAATCCCTAATTTTTTCGGTTTGATCCTGGTTCGAGTTTAACATCACTAGCAAAACCCTGGTACATGGGTCGGATGTTTAGAAAGTGTCAAACCCGACCCATCCACCCATGCATACTCTACACATAATTGTCCGTCAGTCCGTGAGAGGAGAGGAGATCCGAGTGAGAAAACCCTAATCAAGTACTTACCCTTCCCCTTCTCCTCTGTTCTTGTGCTTCTCTGGCGTGTTTCTCCTTCCATCGGCGCCTTCTCAACTTGTTCCTTCGTTTGTGCGGCTCTCTCTCTGGCGTGGTTGCAGCTTTTGAATCCCCTGTTTATTCGTCATGGCTATTAGTAAGCTTCATCATCAAACTATTGCTACGACGGGTTGGGTGCAGAGTACACGTTTTTATTTAGCTTAAGATTATTGTGTCTGTCTTCTTTTCGCAGGGCTTCAATTCGAGAACAATTGTGAAGTTGGTGTTTTCTCCAAGCTCACGAATGCATACTGCTTGGTCGCGATTGGAGGATCTGAAAGCTTCTACAGGTACGGCCGAGTTCTTTCCCCTGCTTATAGAGTTTGAAACTTTTCTGCAACGTTTGTGAGATGAGATGATTGAAACGTTTTTTTTGTAATGGCTGGACTGCTTGCCCATGTTGCAGTATCTTTGAGTCTGAGTTGGCAGATGTCATTCCCGTGGTTAAGACCTCGATTGGGGGCATTAGAATAATCGGGAGGCAATGTGTTGGTAAGATTAGTGTTGATTTATCAGTTGTTTCGTATTATTCTAGCATTGATTTAGGCTCACTGCTCGAGCATTTGCTTTGGCTTGCAGGAAACAAAAATGGACTTCTTCTGCCACACACCACCACTGATCAGGGTGAGTTTTTTATGAGTTTTAGTGGGACATGTCTGGCTTCTGATCGCGTTTATTGATCGATCGAGTCTAGTAATCTGTTGCTCTCTTTCTCACTGGCAGAGCTGCAGCACTTGAGGAACAGTCTCCCTGATTCAGTTGTTGTCCAGAGGATAGAGGAGAGGTTGAATGCTTTAGGAAATCACGTTGCTTGTAATGACCATGTTGCTCTTGCACATCCTGATCTTGACAGGGTAAGTGTTCATAACTATTGCTTGTGGTGCTCGCATTATAGTGCGAACTGTTCGAGTAGTGAAATCTTGGTCAGGGCATGTCTGTTATCATTGCTCAAATGTTTTAGATGTCTAAAAGTTTGTTCTGCCTTTCATAACCCTTTCATATCAGAGTCTGTTGCTTCAAATATCTAAGATAGATGTGGCTTCAGGGCTAATTTATCACTTCCAATTCTACTATGACTAGGAAACTGAAGAGCTGATAGCTGATGTTCTTGGAGTTGAAGTATTCAGGCAGACGATCGCTGGTAACATTCTTGTAGGAACCTACTGTGCTCTTTCAAACAGAGGCGGCATGGTAAGTGTTCACACTAAGCTTTTTACTTCGATTGGTCTTGGCTAGCGTTTGTTTGCACAATATGTGACATGATCTCGTATTTTGCACCAAAACTGCAGGTGCACCCCCACACTACCATTGAAGAACTCGATGAGCTTTCCACCCTTCTCCAAGTCCCCTTGGTTGCCGGAACAGTTAACCGTGGCAGTGATACTGTAGCTGCAGGAATGACGGTGAATGACTGGACGGCATTCTGTGGCTCATACACTACGGCGACAGAGCTGTCTGTTATTGAGAGCGTTTTCAAGTTGAGGGAAGCTCACCCCAGTGCCATTGTGGATGAGATGAGGAAGTCTTTGGTTGACAGCTATGTTTGAGAGATGTTGTAGTGCATGTCAGCTGGGAGTGTGGCACCATCTCTGCAGTCCTACATTGTCTCGTGTTATCCCGTTCATCTCAATTTGTAAAAATGAGTATTGAAACCTGTACAGTTGGTACTGTTCTATATTGGTGTTGTTATCTACTTACGTTAAGGTTGATGAGGCTGTAGGAATCTGTTGTGTTATTTACATGTGGAAGTTCAAGCGAATTGAAACAGCAACCAAGGATTAGAGTGGATCTTGACTTGCATATTTGATTATTATGTGGTGAATTGTTATCATTATCTATGATGTTTGATGCATTTAAGTATTTATTGTGATGATGACAAGATTGGCTGTTCTAATATCTCGTTCTACCATCTAGACTGTAATCGTTCAACCTACTCCTGTAGTCCATCCCCCCTCCACGGCTCCACCTATTGACCCAACCTCGTCCCGAAGCTCTCTTCAACAACCATGAAATCCTCAAAAGCTCCTAGTTAGTGGGTTAGGGTCAACTCATACACCCAAGGATAAAAGACAAAATTATTGGTCACTCGCTTTAAGCTTTGTTTCTCCGAGCTAGAGAAGGAAATCAAGGAATACATAACTAAACCCAAAAAAAGAGAGGTAAATTATACTTTTGGTCACTGAATTTGTCAATTTCTTACAAGTATGAAACCCAAAATTATTGGTCACTCACTTTAAGCTTTGTTACACCATTGATCACTAGATGTCCAATTTCATTAAGTTTGTCTTACATTGTAGTCAATTTTCACATTTGACCGTTAACTAAATGTGTGGCATAAAGCATTAAAAGATAGTTAGTTTTAGTTTTCCAGCTCGCTATCTTATTTTTCGACGAAAAGAAACATAGAGAGCTCCAACATGGGAAAGAAATGGGCGAATCATCGAATCCCTAATATTCAATTTTCTTAACCTTCAAATAGAACTGGATCATCCATCTGCCATCTTCAATACTCAATAGACATTATAATATCTCAAAGCTGTCGATGGTCGTATACAAAAAGTTCCCAACTTCCGACTTGGCCACTTATCTTTCCCGCCTGGAGCTTATTGTACGTAGTTCATTTATATTGATGTGACTTGAATCGGACTATCAACCGCTACGACTGGATTACTCGGGAGCTTATTGTACGTAGTTCATTTATGTTGATGTGACTTGAATGGGACTACATCATGATTAGGCAGTGGTGTATTGCGACAGTTTGAGTGCAATATGCTTGGCCAAGGATCAAGTCCACCATGAGAGGACTAAGCACATAGACGTGAGGTATCATTTCTTGAGGACAGAGAAGAGGATTAAGGTGAAGAAGGTTGGCACCGCGGATAATCCTGCTGATATGTTCACGAAGCCGGTTCCACATGGCAAGTTCCAACACTGCTTGGACTTGCTGAATGTCTTGAGTGGGTGACTCCGCTTTGCGGGGCATTGATGGCGGGAGAGAGAGAGAGAGAGAGAGAGAAGGAGCAGAGTACATCAGAGATTTCAAAGGGAGAGGATTCAAGTCAAGGTGGGCTCAATGTTATTTGGGTTCGGGTTCTAGGCCTGGTCTGTAACCGTTTCCTTTGCCAGATTGGATTAGGTTTAGATCCACATGGAGAAGTACTATAAATACTTCTCATACTCCTCTGTAATCTGTAATCCTCGATATAGTGAAACTGGCTCTCTCTCGCCCGTGGACTAGCTAACACACATCGTCTTAGTGAACCACGTAAATCGTGTGTTTGTGTTTTTCGATTCTCGCTTTTGTATTCTTGCTTTCTCGATTCCGGCGATTTCCCGATCCGTAGCAGCGCGTTTATAACAAGTGGTATCAGAGCCGCGGCTGGAAATCAGGCTAGGGTTTTCGATTAAGAAGAATGACGTTGGTGAACATGAAGATCGAAAAGTTCATGGGGAAGAACAGCTTCGCTATATGGAAGATCAAGATGCAGGCTTTATTAAAACAACAAGGGTTGTGGGGGCCGCTGTCTGCAAAACAGAAGAAGGCAGCGGTCGATGACGATGAGTGGAATACCCTGGAGGATAATGCCCACTCGACCATCATGCTATCGTTGTCTGATGACGTCATCATTGAAGTCGCTGCTGAGAAGACTGCCGCGAGCTTGTGGTTAAAGGTGGAGAGTCTGTATATGACGAAGTCCTTAACCAACAAGCTGCATCTCAAGCAACGATTGTTCAGCTTGAGGATGCAAGAAGGTACGCCTTTGAGGGAACATCTCGAATAGCTTAACTCTATTTTGCTGGATCTGCGTAATATAGATGTTCAAGTTGATGACGAGGACGTTGCCTAATCCTACTGGTTTCTTTGCCGAGTTCATATGAGAATTTTGTTGATTCTTTTATTGCCAATAAAGAAAGCGTGTCGTTGGAGGATGTAAGGTCTGCTCTTCATACGAGAGAGATCAGGCATAAGGCGTCCGGATCTGGTACAAGTGATGAGGCGTCAGGTTTGGCTGTTACAAATGGAAAGGGAAAGAAGAAATCTGGTAAAGGGAATTCGAACAAGAATTCCAAGGGTCCCGGTCCACAGCCAGGTGATGCTTGTCACAACTGTAAGGAAGTGGGGCATTGGAAGTACAACTGTCCCAGGAGAAGAGGGCAACAGAAGAAACAAGGTTCAGTTGCGGTGGCAGAAGTGTACAACAATTCTGAAGACGATCTCGCCTTGGCTGTAGATGAGAAGGCACATCGTGGGGATGTATGGTTTCTGGATACTGCATCCTCATACCATATATCTCCGAACAGGGATTGCTTCACAACCTACAAGAAGATAGATGGTGGTAACGTGGTCGTGGCAAATGGAGCTGTCTGCAAGGTTGTTGGAATCGGGTCCATAAAGGTTCGGGCACATGATGGTTCATTTTGTATCGTGAATGATGTCAGGCATGTTCCACGAATGACAAAGAACATGATCTCCTTGAGTCTACTCGACAACAAGGGTTTCAGCTTCAAAAGAAAAGGTGGAGTTGTGTATGTCTGCAAAGGTTCAAGGAAGGTGCTGAAGGGCGTGAAGCGTGGGACCTTGTATGCATTACAAGGGTCTGTGTTGTCTGGTTCTGCTGCACTTGCATCGTCTCAGGTTCATCATGAAGATATGACCACTCTCTGGCACATGAGACTGGGGCGTATGAGTGAATGGGGGATGCAAGTTCTATCGAAGAAGGATCTTCTTTGAGGGCACAAGGTGCAGAATTTGGAATTCTGTGAGCATTGTGTGTTTGGGAAGCTACATCGCAACAAGTTTCCCAAGAAGGGTATCCACCGGACGAAGGGGATACTGGATTACCTCCACTCCGACTGTTGGGGTCCTTCACGAGTTGAATCCATTGGAGGCATCAGGTATTTTCTGTCTAGTATTGATGATTATTCGAGATTTACTTTGATTTTCATGATGAAGCAGAAAAGTGAGGCTTTCATGAAGTTCAAGCAGTGCTGATTACTCTTCACTAAAAGTTTTTGGGTGTCCTGTTTATTATCATGGGGATGAGGGTAAACTGAACCCAATGGCAAAGAAGGGTGTATTTGTGGGTTACGGAGATGGAGTTAAGGGATTTCGAGTCTGGTCACCTTCTGAGCATCGAGTTATACTCTGTAGAAATGTGATATTTGATGAGAAGTCTATGTTTAACCCCATGTTGAAGGTTACTGTTGTTGAAGGTAGCAGGAATGTTGATAAGCAGGTGGAGCTGCAAACTCTCAATGAGAGTGAGTTTGAGCACCAAGGTGGAGAAGATCAACATGATGAGGATGTCTCTGCAGAGCCAGAAACTTCAGAGTCCAGTGCACGAGCTCAACAGTCTATTGCTTCCGGTAGACCAAAGAGAGCGACTGCAGGAGTACCTCCACAGAGGTATGGCTTCGAGGACATGGTGGCGTATTCATTTCAGGTTGCTGAAGACGTGTATGCAGGAGAGCCACAGTCCTATAGAGAAGCGGTTTCGAGTGGTGAAGCTGATCAGTGGCTTGCCGCAATGGGAGATGAGATGGAATCCCATGACAGGAATCAGACTTGGGAGCTAGTCAAACGACCACATGGAAGGAAGATTGTTACAAACAATTGGATCTACAAGAAGGAAGGAATCACTTCTAAAGAGGGCATGAAATTTAAAGCTCGGGTGGTTGCACGAGGCTTCTCGCAGAGGGAAGGAGTTGACTACAATGAGATTTTCTCACCAGTGGTCAGACATACTTCGATCAGAGTGCTACTAGCAAATAGAAATAGTGGCACATTATGACTTGGAGCTCGAGAAGCTAGACGTGAAGACAGCTTTCCTGCATGGAGAGTTGGAAGAATAAATTTACATGACTCAGCCAGAAGGATTCGAGGTTCCGGGACTAGAAGACTATGTTTGTAAGCTGAAAAAGTCCTTGTATGGACTTAAGCAATCTCCGAGACAGTGGTACAAGAGATTTGACAGTTACATGCTTGAGCTAGGCTACAACAGAAGTCCATATGATTGTTGTGTATATCACAGCAAGGTGGAGGATGGTTCGATGATCTATATATTTATGTATGTGGATGATATGCTCATAGCTGCGAGGTCAAAGCCTGATATCCAGAAGTTAAAGGGGCTTTTCAGTGCTGAGTTTGAGATGAAGGATTTGGGAGCTGCTCAGAAGATCTTGGGTATGGAGATTTACAGGGACAGGTCGAAGAAGAAGCTTTTCTTGTCACAGAAGAGCTACATCCAGAAGATATTGTCGATGTTTGGCATGTCTTCAGCAAAGCCCTTAAATACTCATAGTGCTTCAAATGTTCATCTATCCTCAGCTTATGCACCGCGGTCAGAGGTTGAGAAGGAGTACATGTCGAGAGTCCCATATGATAGTGCAGTAGGTAGCTTGATGTACGCTATGGTATGCACTAGACCTGATCTTGCACATGCTGTTAGTGTTGTCAGCAGGTTTATGATACAACCTCGGAATGAGCATTGGCAGGCTGTGAAGAGGATATTCCGGTACTTAAGGGTACACCTGATGTGGGGATTAGCTTCGGAAGTGATACAGAGTGTTTGGTGTCTGGGTATTCTTACTTGGACTATGCTGGAGATGTTGACACAAGGAGATCGATGACCGGTTATGTATTCACTCTTGGGAGTTCTGTAGAGAGCTGGAACGCAACTCTGCAGTCGGCGGTGACATTGTCTACTACTGAGGCAGAGTATATGGCGTTGACAGAAGCTGCTAAGGAGGGAATATGGTTGAAGGGACTGGTTGGTGATCTGGGACTACATCATGATCAGGCAGTGGTGTATTGCGACAGCTTGAGTGCAATATGCTTGGCCAAAGATCAAGTCCACCATGAGAGGACTAAGCACATAGACGTGAGG